AAATTTTATATTTATTATAAAAAACTATGAAATATTGTATTAAAAAAAATTAATATTTTATTTTATTTTTTATAATGTTAAATGATATTGAGCGACCTACATTTATTAACAGTAGATTTCTATCTTCACATAGCCTAGTTTTGTTATCGCATAACAAAATAAGGTCATCTTAGTGTTCAATAAATTAAAAAAAAAACAATAAAAGATAAAAATAAAAGTTTTTCTTTGGATAATATTAAAATTGATTATTAATTTTTGTTTCTTTTAATTAATCAAAATATTTTAAATAAACGGAATCTTTTTATAGATATATGTCTACACATAATTTTTAATATTACAACATTATAAAATTTTTTGCGCAATACTATTAATTTATGCATCATAAACAACATAAATTGTATTTAAAATAATTGTGCTAATTAAATAAATACAAAATATTTTAACAATAAAATAGGATTTACTAAATAGGATAATAGGTATTAGTTTACTTTTTACACAATTTTCAATTTTTTGTGCTATTTTTTCAATTGTACTTTTTTCTTATCTTTTTATTTTAGATTTATTTTGATAAACATTTATTTTATTTCTGAATATGAAAAGTATAAAAGAATACAATTAAAAAAAAGACATTATTATTAAAAATTAAAAAATTAATTTATAATTGCGGTTAAGTTTACATTATTATATTATTGTTTCATTATTGTTGTATCTGTTAGTATTATATCCGCAGTCGTAAAAGCAAGAATAACAGAATGCTCGTAATGTAAAAACTCCGGAAACTTTTTTTGACTTTAATTTTAAAATATCAGGCTACGAGAACATCACCGGTTATATATGAACATAAGTTGCACTAGAAGAAAAAAGTCAGGTAGACAGGTGCTAGCGCATAAAAATATACTTACTGCGCACATTGTTCATGCTGAAATCTGAATGACACACTGACCGGAATTGACGATACCTGACTTACTGAACACCGAGTCGAGTCAGACAGATAACGTCGATACGTTCACATTTTCCCAGTTATTCTTATTGTACATCGTTGTCGTACCAATAACAACAGCAATCAAACGTCAATTTTCCCTTCTGATCATTCGCGATAACACCCACGCATAACACGGCTGTAAAAACTGACATCCGATATCTTCTGATAATGAGTACCATTATTGGTGAGACTCTGGGATTTCAACCCTTTAGATATCATCAAATACAATAATTTACGCTCGTGTCGAGGATAAATCAAGAAACTCCACTGGGAGTAAAAAAATTAAATAGAAATTTATTCTGAATTATACACTCTAAGAAAATGTATGTTAGTTTAAAAAAAATACAAAATTTATCATTTATCATTATCTAATATAAGCATTTCAGTCATATAAAAAAATTAACTCTTTTACAAATTTACACTAAAATTTACACTAAAAAAAAAGTGTTTCATTTCAACATACTATTAAAATGTTTCATTCTTGTTTCCGTTTTTTAAACACTTAAAAATATTTTAGTTTTAAACTTTTTCAAAACAAAACACTATGTGTTTGACATTACTATGACATATACATATTGACTATGTGTTTAAATATTATGTATTGACAAAATACAACATGGAGACAATAAAATACTGTATTATGTTTTTTAAATTATATTTTTTAATATTTTATTGATGTATGTCAAATGTTATATTTTCAGGTCTGTTTCGTTGCAGCTCTATCAGCGTCAGCCGATAAGCAAAAGAGGAACATTCTACTAGGCAATCCATACTACGGAACCGAGCATGATCATCATCACAAATACGAAAATGAGGTACAAATCTTAAAAATCACCGGCTACATAGGTTTTTACATGGTTCTTGATGACATCGAGGATCATTCATTCTAGGTAAAACCTCAGCAAATCTACGAACCGCCTAGTTACATACCCGGCAAATCTTTGAGAGCTGACTTCTTTGCGATCAGTGATGCTGACAAAACTTCTTCCTCGTGCTATCCATCTCCTACGGAATATTTTTCAGGTAATCGAAAAACTCACCAAAATCGTTCAATCGTGTTAGATTTACCACAAATATAATTTTAATAGAAGAGCAAAAGTTATAAAATTATCTATTTCTTACAGTAAAGCCATTAAAATTCATTGATAAAGGTATAGTGATGATATGAAAATTTATTATTTAATGAATCGTTTAATTAGGATTAGTTTTTCTATGCAGATTCTCATCAACTTCATTAAATCCGTTGATGATAAAAACTCTGCCGCAATAAAAGTATGTAATTTATAATACATCGATCATATCATCCTCCACAATCATAATTTTACACAAATTAATTAATTTATTTAAAATTAGTTTATTATGTTAACTGCAATATGTTAAATGCAATCATCATCTTCTATTCATTTTTACCTTAATCTTGAATCTTTAAAATATCTTTTTAATCTTATATTGAATTTTGACTTTTTAGCATTGTAAAATTTGGATTTTATACTTTTATTGTGTTGATTATTAACATACGTATTTATTATTAGTATTCTATACTTTCGTCATACAATTTTTTAATACGTGTGCAAATATCGAATTCTTCATAGATGATCGAATAAGAACATCCAAAATTCGACATCATGCATGTACAGAAAACTAATCCCAGAGCAGCCAGCGATTGTTCACAAGCATGTGGAAATTGCTTCGGAAACCGTCTCCCTTCCGCAAGTGAAGGAAGAAGTCTTCTATCAATATTTTCTCCAATTACCTCGTACTCCTCGTACGACAACATACTCTTGAGAATCGTGGGTTACCATCTGCAAGTGCAAGTCGTCATCTGTATCAAGTATCGGTGACCAAGCATGTCGCTGTTCTCGTTCCAGTCCCGCACATTAAAGTTCCTAAATCCTACTATAATTGTGTGCCCCAGCCTGTTCAAGTCACCGTGGTCGGTACCCCGAGGAAATGTCTCATCCAGTATCAAATCTCATTTATCATTATGTAAAAATCGTTCCAGTTGCTCATCTAATTGCTCATCATAGTGATACCAAGACTAATCAGTGCAGACCTTCTTCAACAATTCGCAATTGACGTTCCAAAATGTATCGAGAAACCTATCGAATTTCTCGAGTTCTCTGGAAGGCTTTCAGAATCTGTTCAAGAACTTCTAATTGCCCTCTCTGTCTTTCATACCATTTTCTATATCCTTTATATCTTTAATACCGTTTCTATCACAACAATCTCAACCGCCCAAGTTAACGTGCTTTCTTTGACAAGTAGCGACTAAAATAATTTGGAACACGTTATCTATATACATTAATTATTTTTAAACAATGACTTCGCTATATTTTCCACGCATGTCACGAACTTTACCGATTAGAATTATGATAATAATAAATGATAAAAAAAAGTCTCAATGATATTTGTATTTTTATTAATATTCTACGATATGTTTTTAAAATATCTTTTGGATGCTTTCCATTTGATAACACAAGTCGACACAAGTTGACACAAGCGTCGTTCTATTCTTCTTGACATTCGGAGACAAAAATAGAACGCTACTTATGTCGACTCGTGTCATCAAATAGAAAGCATCCTCTATCTTTTGATCTTAAAATAAGCTTGCATCCGATATCTATGCCGTGCGTCTTCGAACGAATAGAGTCGAGTGAAACATATGAAAAGCGCGCTGGAATGAGCAGCAGCTGACAACTCATTGTCAGCTATTTAACAGATTTGACAGATTGACAGATTTTGCGGTTGGGACGTTATCACGTCACACGTCACTACGTTCGGACATACTCCTGAGTTTCTCCGCCGTATACGATCGTTCTGGATGTTGTGTGTATGTTCTAAACAAAACATCTTGTTTCTTTCATAATGAAGTGTCTCTTCATTTCCGCGATTTCTCTATCATCAGAGTAAGATTGCACAAAAAATTCAACTTATGCAACAATCTTGTGAGCAATAATGAAGTAGTAATACAAAAATACAAAGGAAACGATATATTCTTTACAGTAAATATAATATTCTTTATTATTACTGGCATTTTTGACAAAATTAAGAACTTTTTAAAGAATACCAGCATAAAAGAATACCACATAATCAACAAAGATATTAACAAATTAAATTATATTAGAATGCATAAAGATAAACTTCCACGAACGATGCACACATTAATGTAGGTTAAAACCTGTTGGAAATCACTCAGGATCATGATCTTCATAACATATGTCCAGATCATTGGCGATTGATCCCATTTTGGCAGTTTTATCTTAATGAACATAGAAACCATATCAACTGAAAAATAGAACAAAGATCGTAATTACGGAACAACATTATCTCGAACAAGCACATGATTTTGATTGGGATAACATTAAGATATTGAACGAAGAAAGAATAAGAATAATTGAGTAAAAGACTTATATTAGAAATGATTTTTATTCGAAAACAAAAAAATAGTTTAAACATTATATGTACAGTCAGACACGAATTTATTGGACGAAACATAACAATTTATTTATTAATAATTAACGTTTTCCTCTCTTCAATATTTTCTTTTATCTATAGTTAATTTTCTACGCGTACTGTAATAAAGAATTGTTTAGATATATCATAATGTCCGAATAGATGACATGTCAATTTTGTACTCTTAACAAATATCATGTAAATTCAAGACCTAATCATGTTTATCTTTATAATTTTTAAAATAGATTATTAATTTTTGTAGTATATTATTATATAATTATTTAACAATATTTCAATTATTATTGTACAGTGCACCGGGAAGTCCAATGATTTCGTTCGAGCAACATTGAAAAGGATCCGAATCAAGGATCGAAACATATGATTGATTTGGCTGAAATATATGAATAAATAAATCTTATTGCATACCAATATCTCGTGATTGGCTCCGAAAAACATCACCTCATGGATTGATAATTCTACTAACATATACATATAAATTGTTGAAAGTTTCAATATTTAATTATATTATACAATCTCTCAGTCTCTTTTTCTCTTTGTTTTATTCCTGATCTTAATTTATCTTTTGAATTTAATTTCTTATAAGTAATTTTCTACGTAACATTTTTATACACTAATAAATCAAAAAACAAAGAAATTTCTTCATTAATCCAATATTCTATCTTTATCGAAAATAAATATAAATAAATATTGCAGCGATCAAAGACAACAAGATAGAAATTAATGGAATGGATTAATGGAATAAAATTTTATAGCCTACTAGTAATAATTTTAGATTCTATACAATCAGAATGATACAAAACCGAATAAACAATTTAAAAATTGTTAAAACGTTATTAGGATTAAAAGGATTATAGGAGTTACAAAATTTTTTTTTACGGAAATAAAGTTCTTTTATTACAAACATTATTGGACCACTTTTAGATTTCTTGATAGATTGTATCCAACGTATCAGTGCGAAAGATTTTACCAAATTATATAGAAATAATCGTCAACATATAACGAATGGATAATAATAATTAAAGCTATTGCAGGTCAAGCACAAAACTTTGTAAATCTATATTAATTTTTACTTATTTAAATTTGAAATCGAGAGAACATAAAAATTCTATTTATTATTTGATATTGCATTATTATAAAATTTACTGACTCTCACGAAATAAAAAATTAATTGTTTCAATTAACGATAGATTATTATTGTTTTGCACGTGAGCTTTCTGTAAATGATGCCTTGTAAATGATAAACATTTGATTAATTAACGATATTAAATAACAAACATTGTCTATGTCGAAGACGCAAGTTTTACCACAAACGACACTTTTTCGATGGATTCATGGTCGATCCTGCTGGACAATTCCATGCAGTGCTAAATTCTTTGGAATTTCTCAGTACAGCTTGAAGTCTTACATGACCGGGACAATGAGAATCTTCCATCATCCATTTTAGTGATGTAGCAGTATAAGATTCGCACCACAACTAAAACAGTAATATAAAAACAATAATTAACATTTACTCATAATTTGAATAATACTGAAATTTGAATAATACTGAAGAAAAAATTTTCACAACAAATTATTTAATAAATATTCTTATTTAATAAAGAGATGATATATCTATTTAATAAAAATGTTTTTATGTCACATAATTATATAGAAGACACACACCCACACACACACACACCCACACACACACACACCCACACACACACACACACACACACACACACACACACACACACATACACACACACAAAATCTTAATATCGTAAAATTGATTAAAAGAACTATAATAAATTTTAGCAATCAATTTATTGTTATTAGATGAATAATATATGCCAATTGTAATTTATCGTTATTAATCTTGCAGTTAATTCTTATTTATCTCGTATAATTGAATTTGAATTTAAATAAGGCAGCTAATAAAAAACAAGCAAAGATAAAACTAGTTCTATAAACTATTAATTACGAAAACATTGAAGAATTTTATAATTTATTAAAAATATACGTTTAAATATGAATCAAATCTGGGAATTCCGGATTTGTCTTTCTACTATTTAAGCCTTTTAAATCCCTTACTTAAAAATAGACGACTTATTAACAACTTCTTTTCTATAAAAATATAAAACTGATAAGAATATGGAAATTGACGTAAACAAAAATGTTTAAAATATCACTTAAACCGTCTTTTTTGCTAATTGGTTAAATTTTTTATTTTATTACCTTAAGTGTTCATAAACTTTATGAAGCTGAGATTTTTATTTGGATATACCAAAGCATGATGATTGGGACTTGACTACTATATTATAATTAGAATGTTGGCTTACATGCGCAAAAGAAAGAAAAAGTAACTGTTCATGCGTAAATTGCGTGAATCCCGGAAGTAAAGGCTCATGACCGTGCCGAGCCTTCCACCTTTTATAAGCGACGATGGCCTCGCGAAGGCCACCATTATCAGCGATGTTTTCTCCCAAAGTCAGTTCGCCATCAATGTAATCGTCGACCTGTACAAGATATATCATTAACATCAATATGATCAGATTATTCAACTTCTTAAAACTAAAGCTGATTTATACATAAAAAATTAATGCTTACATAGATTAAGATATAACTTAAAGTAGGCTATATATAAAATGTTAAATATTAAAAATATATTACCTCAATAAAATTAAATATTTAAATTAAAATTTAAATAACGTTTAAATAAAATTTTTAGAAATTATCTATGATATCTATTTATTTAATACTTGAACTCCCTTATTGTTTTATTTTATCACTTCTTTTATTTCTTAAAAGATCAAATCAAATTTAATAAATTTTTTTAATACTAAATGTTTTGTAATAAGATTATTAGACTTGCCTCGACTTCGTAATAAGTATTATAATGATCTATGAAGCACTGAGTTCTGTCCGAGTACTCTGAAATGGTTTCATTGGTCCACCATTGCCGGAGATTTCCATTGCCATCGTAAAGCCGACCGCTAGTGTCAAATCCATGAGTTAATTCATGTCCAAGAATTGTGCCGATGGCGCCATAATTTAAAGCTCTGCAATTATTTAAAAAAAAGATGCAAATTTTTTCTTTCTCATTATATAATGACTTTACGAAAAATGCTTTCTATTATTTTTTACATTTCTTTTTTACTTGTAAAAGTATTTACTTTTGTATTATTTTTTTGTACATAAAGTTAATAATAAAAATAATTATTTCTATTCTTACTCAAGACCCAATTCATAAAATGGGAATTGAAGAATTCCAGCAGGTATGGCTGCATGTATAAATAGTGAAAGAAGGAAGGATATGTTAATGAAATTTTTAATCAATGCAACAATAAAAAAAGACAGTTTTTTCAACTAACAGATTATTAACAAT